GGAGATAAATCCCTAACATTTTCTACATCGTAATATTCTTGTATTTGACAATGTCAATGTTTATTCTACTGAGGTAACTTTTACAAAAACTGTGTCGTTAAGCTTCTTTGTGTTGCAAAACTGGCCAATGGTTTGGAGGAATAGATGTTTTATACATGGGTGGATACTGACAGAACACAAGTGGAGAGGAACTTGACAGTATCCATGAAAATCAAAATGGTCTGACCTTTGTATATAGATATAAAACTTTTAGAAATTTACCTTAATGTTATTCTTTAATAGATTTATTATATTCATTTTCTCTTGGTCATCTTATGAGTACAAAAATATTAATTGTGATGTTACTTTAATATGTCCATATTTAGAATATCAATGATCTTTAATAAACTCATAAACACATTTTATTTATTAATGGTTAGTTAAATAAATCATATGCATTCAAACAGCAGAATGATCTGGTACTTTTAAAAATAATCCAGTTGTCTGTAAACTTACTAGGGATATTTTCTAAGATACTAGAAGGTGAAAAGTGAAGAAAGAAAAAATGAATGTCTGTATATGTGTATGTGTGTGCATGTGTTTGTATGCCTGGAACGTACTGAAAGAATTCTATAAGCACTAAGAAATACGGGGCAGGAAACTAGGAAACAGAGAGGTGAAGAGAGAAGACTTACATTTTATTCTGTACTCTTTTGTTCACCTGGAATTTCAGTTCATAAACACACTAATAAAAATAATTTTCTGTAAATAAAGCTAGAAAATGTGATTTCCTATTATAGCTCTGCTTACTTCACTGGTTGGAACATTCAGAAAAATCCACAAGTAATAAAAAATTCTATTACACTTTCTTTTTCAGAAAATATGAAGCATACCATTACTTATGTCTGGAAAGCTGACTTTTTTGGAACAGTTAGGCTTCCAAATTAGATTTTCACCTCAGATTGGACACTTAGGAATTTTCAGATTATAATAGCGTCCAAAGAAATGGGAAAAAATCTTGTCAAAACTCTCAATAGTTTCATTCTGTGTGAGGACATCAGAGAAAAGTAGCTCCACTCAACCCGGCGAATCACTGCAGAGCAAAAAGGAGGAGGCAGATAAAACAGTCCAGGCAGATTTGTGTAATCCTGGACTCACTTCTCTCTAGGACCAGAGGGAGGCTGACACAGGAAATCACCTAGTGTCCATTTGTCCCCAGCCTGGGAAATACGCCAGAACTGGAGTTACCCGTCAGTGGGTGAAGAAGCAAAGTGTGAAAATAGGCCAGGCTGGAACCGAGAATGCGAATGTCAGTGGGGTGACAGACAGAGGACAAGACAGGAATGTCAGGGCTCCGTGTCATGGCACGCGCATCCAGTCTACTGAGTCTTGTATGAAAAAAGGAGCAGAAACTCCTAGGTGATGGGGAAACGCAGTGTCTGAAGCTGGCGTGGTCTGAGAACCTGGTGGTGAAAGGTGCTCACCCAATTTACTTTAGGAGCCTTAGACATAGCTAAGGACCCACCCCCTGGGATTCTAGAAGAGGTTGCAAAGCAGTAGCTGGGGTTCAGCTAGAAGTGTGTGAACCTGGCTTGCGAGCTGAAGTGCCAGCTGAGAGCGGCAGTCTCGGAAGATGTAGGAAACGGATGAGGCTGAACTTTTAAGCAACAGAGAAAGAAAGAGCTCACCACAGATATGTAGGACTCAGGCAAGAGCAAGACCAAGTCCAGACTCCAATCCCTGCAAGAACGTGCCAATTCTAAGATGACCCTTAATTCTCTACTCTTTTATTCTTCTTAGAGAATTCAGTGTAATGAATTCCATTTTGATACCTTGATTAATTATTCCAAGCCTGTCTTTACATGCAGTTTTCTATACTTTGTTCAGGGTTTGACTCTTTCTTTCCTTCCTTGCTTTACTCTCCAGCTACAAACTAGCCATTTCCTTTGGGATATTCCATCATCATTTTAAAATTAACGTTATCATCTCAAGCTAAATTCCTCACTGTGCTAACCTGTCCTGCTATAACAAGATCACCGAGACTAATTTATAAACCACAGAGCCTCTTCAAGTTCTGGAGTCTGGAAGGCCCAAGACCAAGTGCTGACGGGTTCACTGGTAAGAGGTGGCTTCATGTAGGAGTGCTTATTTGGTGCCAGAGATGGAAAGGCTGAGGGGCACTCCTTTCAATCTCTTCTAAAAAACACTAATCTCATTTATTAGTGACCCTCTTAAAGATCCACCTCTTAATACTGTCCCACTGCTGATTAAATTTCAACATAGGCACTTCAGAGACGCATTCAGACTATAGCACATCCCCTTTTCTCACCTTCCTTCCTCTCCTCAGCTTCTTTGTTCTGTCGTAGGTATCTCCATTCTCTTAATCACCCAAGTTCAAAGCCACCTTCCTAGAAATCATTCATTCATTCAGTCAGTCATTCAAATATACTGAATGGCACCAATTCAAAGCCATATTGCAAATACCATCTCTGTTTGGACCCTCACTTCCTCTTCCTTCTCATACCAACTGCCACACTCCTATGATCTTCATAATGTGTATGTTCAGTTATTACAAGCACTTCATATCAGGCCTCCATGATTCGTATTCCCACTCCTTCTAATCCATTTATAACTAATTTTAATCATAATCTTTATGTAGATACCGCATTCTAATTGCCCATGCATATTTGCCTTCTTGTCTAGATCACATACCCTTTCAGGGCAGGCTCACATAAATGTCCCCTACCATTTTTTCTCAGAACCTACATCCATGTCAGAAAGATGATAGCGTCCAAGAAACAGCACATGTTTAATAAATTCTTTAAAACTTTCAATGCCTCTCTATCGAGCTTCTACATCTCTGCTTAACATTCACAGTCCTTTGCTGATTGGTGATAATGATTTGTCTACTTGACCACATTTCTCACTGTTTGGCTCCCTGGTTCTTTTGTATCCCTTGGGCTTATTTCTTCATGCCATGTGAACCTGTACCCACACATGGTTATTCTCACTGTCTTATTTCTTGAAAAGCTTCTTTTTTCCCCCTCTCAAATGGAGAGCTTTATCCTATACCTGTCTATGGCAGATTTCCAACTAGACAGAAGAAGTGGTCAAAGAAAGATGACCGTCCCTCTCCCAGCCTCCTCTGAGAAGCATTCACTGACTCCCTGCACTCTCAGGGTCAGAGAAAGGCAATGCTGTGTCTGTCCTAAGGTTGTGGAAATTGAGCCCAGGTCCAGCGGTAATGCAAGTAGAGCCAAAGAGCAGGAAGTAAAACCAAACTAAGGCTGCAAAGAAGTCCTTCACTGAGTGTCCCTCTTGCAAGTTTAGCAGGTCAGACTGGGAAAAGGGAGCTTGGGGAAACGCCTGCAAACGTCAGTGTGCCAGAGGTTAGCAAAAGGAAAGAAGCATTCACTCACCTTTTGATGCCCTGACTGACCTACTTCATGGATAAAAATGGGCATTTGACCAACCTGGTTTCTTGTCTTCAAGGCTGTTTTAATCCCCTTGATAGTCATGATCTGCACAGTAAAGAAGCTCAAACATCCATTCATGGGTATTCTGCTGCCAGGTTTTTGAGGCTAGGGTCAACTCATCCTTCTAGACATGCTTTACCTGGGATCCAACGAGACAGGAGACATGTCCTCTGCAGTTAACACAGATACCATAAAGCCAAAGTTTAATCTAGTTTATGATTTTCATTACATCTTCTCACACCCAAACACCGTTGGAGATGCTCAGCACAGACAGATGAATGAGACATTGTCCTCAGCCTCTCAGCTGTCCCAACATCCGCATGTCCACCCACAAACTGCTACAGCACCTTTGTCCATCTGGGTCTCGCTGAAAGCTCTGCTCTCCAATCTCACTCCAAGTCCCTTTCATAGACTTCTAGATTTTCTTAGGCACCGCCCATTTTGTAAACTAGATATTTTTCATTTCTTCTGCAATTCCCAGAGCTCAAGTTTGACTTTGCACTCTGATCTTCTTTGCCTCCAGTGTGTCCCACATACAGATCTAGCTACACACAACCCAGGTCCAGTGAGGATTGCATAATAAATGTGAATATATTTAAGACTACTAAATAGCAATTTAAAAATTTATGTTATGCATACTTGAACAATTAAAACAAAATGCCAGATCCAATGAAAGCCTCATGGTGCCCTAGCACCACCAGTAGAGTTCAGCCACTTTCTGTGAAAGAACTCACACTTACAATTGGAACATCTGTTAATCAAGGAACAATTACTGAGCAGTGTTTATAAAATAAACAGCACAGTGGGAATAGAGAGTTTAGGGAAGACCATGAAAAATATAGTCTTCTTTATGAAGCTTTTATTCTTGCCTTGAAAATGTCTATCAAGCCAGTAGGCGTAGATTTAAGTGATTCATTGAAATACAAATAAATGATATAAAGGTGACAGCAGATGACAGGTAAACATGACCTCTCCTGGACCTTGGAGGCAGCCTCCTTAATAAAGTGACATTGAAGCTGACATAGGAAACACAAATTCTTACCTGACTAAATGGGGTCTTATGGCGATGGTAAAGCATAGAGCATTCCAAGGATATAGAATCACACACATAAAATAAAGGATTCTTCACAAAAAGCCCAAATCCTAGTGGTCCTTTTCCAGAACTGTAGAAGGCAGTGGTGAGCACAAGCAGAAAGAGACAAAAACATCACCTGGCAGCCTGGTGCCCACGTGCTTTTGCCAGAGACCCTAACTTAAAGACACACAAGAAACAGATGTGGTTTCCAAATATGAGGAAGGAGGCTGGTACAACCCTCCATGGAGTGCCATTATCTGTACAGCATCAGAGATTTTGGTAGCTGAAGAGGAAAGCACAGGCATTCCAGGTCCAGAGGCACAGGCCTGGGGAATGCCAGTGTCACTTAGGGACAGGAAGTAAGTCATATTCTAGTGGAGAACAGAAAAGACACAGAACAAAAATTAGGATGAACATTAAAGATACAAAAGAAAGTTAAATAGAATCTCTGGACCATTCTAGAACAGCAGCTCACAATGACCCACTCACCTTGTTAAGGCTCCTGCCTTTCTCACTGCTTTTTGTCCTTCTGTGTTTACATCAAGCTCCAACCTACTTGTTCATTATGTGGTCTGTAAACACTCTCTGCTAGTTGGTAGCTTATTTGTGCAGGTGGAAGGCTGAGCGTGAACACGTAAGAACACCGTTAACCTCTATTTCCTGATACAAATTAATTCTATTCGGTAGAAAAATGCTACCCCAGACAGATACAAGCATCTCCAGTTTCTTGGGCCGCTCTGTCTTCAGGAACCCACTGAAGGGTCTCTGTCTAATGCTGGCTGGGAGCAACAAGCTCTGGAAAGAACCGAAGCTGAGGGGATTTTGAACCTAGGGAGCTGGGTCTGCAAACAGGGATTTCATTTCTGCAACAATCTGCCTGCTCCATAAACTGGAGTTCTCCCACCATTAAGCTGTGATTCTGGAAAGGACCATAAAGGCTTAGCTTATCACCTTCATTCCACAGATAATGTTATCAGACCCTAAGAGAAGTGACCTTCTAGAGAGAAAGGGTTCCATAACTTAAGGTTGGATATTTCAAAATTCACATTTCCATTTAAAAAAGATCAAAACTAGCATATTTGTAAAACTGGAATTTTTAGCCATTTTGATAATTAAAAATCTAATATCCTTTTTAAAATATGATATAACATCTTTGGTTCGTTTTTACAACTGCAATTGTGGGGAATTACATCACAGGCAATTTTCTAGCAACAGAACATAGGTTTAAAATTACAGGTCTTTTTTTAAAAAAAAATTGAATACCTTTAAGATTTAAGCATAAAATGAAATCATTCTCCTGACCCATCTAGAGCCTTAGCTACTCACTCCTTCAGGTTGAAATTTTAACCAGAAATTGTCTGGGTAACCTAAATCAAAGTGGTAATTTCTGTCTTGTCCATTTCTGCACTTTTCTTTCTCCAGACTTTCCAGTTATTATTTTGACTGTGTAAACAATTCAGTGCTGAGCCAAGGAGTATATCGTAATGGCTTGTTTTGTTTCTTAGGCTTCTTTTATTCTCTCCCTCCCCTTCTTTTAACTATATGAATCATGTTTTAAGTGTTTCCACTGCCTGGAACAGTTCTGTAAAATGTCTCTTGATTTGATCGTACACTTGGATACATCAGCTAAATTGTCAATTCCACTTTCCTTTTAGAAACATCTCCGGGATACATTTCAGACTACTTTACACTGGCTGAAATCCTTCTCTTTAACACCAATTAAGAGTTGTAAGTCAATATTGTAAATTCACGTATATATTTATATTTTGTGTTATATCTATTTCTCTAGTAAACACTGATTGACACAAACCTTGTGCAAAGACAGGCTTTAGATGTTCTTTTATATAGATTAGACTCTTTGATATAAGGAACCAATTTGGCAACTTTCTGAAATTTTGTATTTTAAGAAATATCTAATAGCAAGTAAAATGATTTTAAGGAACATCAATCCTAGAGTTAGAAATACTTTGTTCAAAATTATAGCCACAAAAAAACTTGAACAAACAAGATGGTTTCATCCCTGTTTCTCTGAGAATCATTTATCCAGAATTATCTGCCTGGATCAAAAAGAAAAGTAGTGTCTAATTTTATTTGTCATTAGTATGAATCAATGACCTGTGGGATAAGAGAGTTTAATTCTCAATGCCAAATGAGCCAGCACTATTTTTAGTCACCTAGTCACCTTTTCATCTATAATTTCCATAGTTAAGCTGTGTAGTCTAGGTGCAAATTGAAAAATATTGTGTCTGCATTAGACTGCTTCAGCCCTTCACAATCTGTTTTCTGAGTCTGTCCATACATGAGTCGAAACGTTTCATAGTACCTCATAAATATGCACGTTTGCATTTTACATATTTGTTAGACACAAGTTTAATTTAAACTTTTTTTAAAGTTCATAATGGAAGGAATCTCTTTCTGATATCCAAGATAAACTTCTTGAAGTAAAATAACATGTTTTGAACCTTGTTCCCCCAAGTACACCAAAGAGTCAGAGCCAGCCAAGCCCAACCTATATACTCTGCCTTTGGGCAGAAATGGATCATTGTGTTTCTGGTTGGGTGAATTTTGATAACACATCAACCAATTCTTACAAAAATAATAAGAAACTGTCTTCAGTGGACCTCCGAAGAAACCTTCCTAAAACCTTTTCAATTTAAATGATTAGCAGTAATTTTTAACTAAGGCAGCCAAACTTTATAATTTACTCACTCAGCCTAGAAAACTGAGAAACTTCTTCTAAAATTCATTGCTTTTTTCCCTTGGTGAAAGTTGTAACAGAAAAAAGGCAATGTATCATGCATCTCCACCGATTTCTAGAAAAGAATTTTTTATATAGTAATTTTGTATTATCATAGATTCTACTTTATTTTGTTAGAATAGTTGTAATAGAACATTGAAGAAAATTCAGAATCACTACTGGCATTTGTATGCCTTTCTGGAACTGGACACATGGCATGAAAGAACAATACTGAACGTGGATTCAGTCCCTCCCTAGCTTTTTCTAATTTGTGGGCTTTGGGCAAGGTATCTGGTCTTCCATGTTTTTCAGAGATATGAAAAATGATAGTATTTTCCCTGACACAGACTTGAAAAAAAAAAAGATGCAATAGAATACATCATTTCACCTAAATGAGAGTGATTCCTAAAATGTAAAAGCTTTAGCATAATATCCTAATTATTGGATTAATTATGTCCCCAGTGAATGCGTTTCTTGATGTATTTTCTACTTGATATGAGTTAGGAAGATGAACAATTATTTATTTTATGTCTTTAATACATATCAGTTACACATATCAATGGGATTCATTGTGCTATTTCCATACATTCATACAATGTGCATTGGTCAAATCCGACCTCCCTTCCCTCTAAACTTTGCACCCTTGCCAATCGCTGATAATCACTATTCTACTTTCAGGGACAATGAACATTTAAATGGATGTTTATCTGCATGATTTTGAAACTCCTCAGACCACATCACTGCATCAAAGTGATACTCATGGAAGCCACACCCAGTGATCACGCCAGGGCTTCCGAAGCGAGACCTCAGGTCTAATAGGAAAAGTCAGTGCCCTTGTATTCTGCACTGCCTTATTACAGAGCTAACCTTTCTCCTCTCCATATCCCGTTTCTCTCGCTTAGGACAGACATCACACTTTTGTACATTTGTTACATCCTGAAATATACTTGACACTTTATGAAAAATTATATTTGTGCTTTAACAACCAGGAAATGCTCCGTTCACCTAGTTCAATTTTCTGATTTTTAAACAAACTCAAGAATAATCTGTTTTTGTTTGGTTCTTAGTTTTGGTCTTATTACCTATTGTCTCCTACTTTCTAGCCTCTTTTTCAGGAAAACACACACACAAACACACACACACACACAATTTTTCATAGATTTTCAGTTAGATCTTTGACTTAACATCTGCTGAGCCATAATTCACAATGTAACATTTCACAGTTCTTCCCAGGCACATTTTGATTGTAGGCACTAGAATATTTTGATCAGTGTATTTTCTGCACACAGACATTCATCACAAAAGCAATTACTCATTCCTGGAAACAGATGCCAAGCCTCTAATTTAAAAACACCAAGTGAGTAATTCCCAAAGCATTTTTTTTCCCTTCAAATCCAAAACACTCTAATTACCTTGGAATAAACAAAGAGCCTTGCAGAGCTAACTCAAATGGTTTATTCAAATTCACCATCTCCTATGTATGCTATGGATTTCTACCTGCTGCAAAAGTTCTTCTGGGGGGTTTCCCATGTGACACAGAGCCCATTAAATGGAGAAGTAAACTTTGTACCCATTTCAATCCCTAAACTGGCCCGAGAGGAACACAGAAGTTACCAGTCACTTACACTTCTTTCCTTAAACATGTATTCCTTAAACATGGATCCAAATGGTCAGGCTTCCTACCTACAACTACATATTTAATTATGTCAAGAAAACAAAGCAAAGCAAGTAGCTTTAAGGACTGCGTCAGTGCTCTCTCTACTGAACCATTTGTGCTAATAACGATCTGTCTGATAAGCAAAACACAGCTCCATTGCCAGGCTGCTTGCAAGAGCAGAGACACAGGGAGCTCAAAGTATTGCATATGCCAATAACAGCTAGTACAGACGTGTTGACAGAGGATCCAGCCTACCTACAGACTACTGTAGCAAAAACCAAAAAGGCCTCTGCCTGCCCTCTGGGAGCGATGAGACAGGGAGTCACTGTCAAGCTACTGCTGCTCATTGAAAATTTTAAACTTCTTTTTCAGTTTTATTTGCTAATTCATAATTTCCCTTCAGCTGTGTCTTCCAGGGCAAGGACAAGAATAGGTAAGCAAAGTGTCCAGGGAGCAAAGTTCAAGAGGCTACTCACTCTTGGGTTTCTGCAGGGTGACAGGTGGCACCTGACAGCCTGCACCTCCTGACATTTGAACCTGAGTTCCCAGGGGTTCACCTAGTCTTACACCAGATGCCCAGTCCACAGCTCACCTTGTCACTTACAGCTGTTATTTCAGTGAGCACAGTTTTCAATTCCAAGGCTTTCTATTTCAATACATGCTCTCTTTAAATTAAATTTATCATTTCAATTTAGATTTACTTAATGAGCTTATTCTTCATAGGGCATTTCTACCTGTATATGACATCTCTTGCTTCCTCTTTCTTTCCCAATCCCCTCCCTTCCCTTCGATCCTTACTCACCTCATTTTCCTTTCATTTTATCCTTCCGTTATTTTTTTTCTCTTCCTTCCTTTCCTCCTCCCCACTCCCTACTTCCTCTTTCCTTTTGAGCAATTTCTTCCTATTTCAAAGTATTTATTGTATATTTTGGTTCTGTTTATTCTTTTATGGTCTCAAACCAGGGGACAATGCAAGGTTTACACATGTGTCTGGCTTATTTCACTTAACAATATGGTCTCAAGGTGTATCCATGTACCTAGAAATGTCTCAAGATTTTCCTTATTTATGGTTGAATGATACTCCAGTGTATAAAAAAATACATGTTTTTAATAGCTAGTGCTGATTTAATACTATCTTGTTTTAAAGCCCCACCAAAAACTGTCTTCTGTCTCCATTGGTTTTATCATGTTGTATCTTGCTGGATTTTATTATATGTGATAGTATAAACAAAAATTGTTATAGGCAAAGAGATAATATAGAAACCATTGTTCATCTTTCTGTTAGCTGGTTCTAAATACAATGCTTTCATCCACTTGAATGGTTTTACACTGTCTTGATATGTTTGACGCTACAGTATATGAAGTTATATTCAAATATTTCAAGGAAAAAGACACTATGGTAACTACTATTAAGTCGGGTTATTTGGTGGTGAAGCACTAGGTTGCTGAAACTGTCATGCTTTAACCTGTATTGTTATGCTGTTAGGCCTTCTTTTATCTCAATCTCTCCCTTATTCATTAAAAAATTATTTAATTTTTTATTACTTTTTTAAACTAAGAGGAAAACATCAAAAAAACTAACAGGATATATTATAGTAAGTTTTTGATTTCCTATTAACTTGATTTGAAGTCCTGTAATACTCCCACTATCTTGTTTTGACTGATTAGACACTGTTCTGTTCTGTATGACAGTATCAAGTATCAGAGTAAAGGCAACTACTTTGAAGGCAATAAGATTCACTATGATGCCCATTCTGGTTTGACTATTATCCTCTTTTGAAGTTCTGTAATGTTTACAATGTTTAGGTTTTATTGGTCTTGTTCTCTACTGTTTTGTGCAACTTTATAATACCTAATGAGATAGACAATTCTTCTTAAGGAAGCAAGAGGCATTATGGTAACCATTGTTGATAACCTAGTACTCTGTTTTTACATCATGTGCTATGTCTATCCTTGGTTTTGACTGACAGCTTTGTTTTATCATGTTTGATTTTATTCTCTTCCAAAAAAAAGTCATAAGATTTATGGGAGCAATAAAACCCACAATGTGTAAATTTTGTTGTAATAAAGAGGGGGAAAAAAAGTGCCCTAAAGGATACAACAGCAAGTGTGTTTAGGTGTGTTAAATAGATGGCCATATCAATGTTTTTGATTGGATCATTGAACACAACTGTTTGCAGTCTCACTGTTTGAATGTTCACTTTGTATGCTTTGATCCTGTGACCTGAACCACTGTCTCTAAGATGATAGTGTGTAATCTATTAACTGGTGATATCTTACTGGTTTTTTTTTTTAGTTCTGTATTACTTGTACCCTTACACTGTTTTGTTTTGTTCTGTTTTTTCTCTTTTTCCTTTTAAATAGAATTTTTTTAAATAATTTTTTAAAATATATGTTTTTATCCATTCTTTAATACCTGGTCATTGATTAATAATCTTTTCTTCTCATGTCCTCTTTTGCTTATTGATTCTAAAGTACTTGCCAGCATTTTTTAAATAAAATGCAGCATTATTTCTAGTTCCTTATATGTAGAGTCCACAAATTCTTCAGTCTGCAGGCAGTTCTTATGACAGAAAATGTGCTTGTGTTTTATCTTATTTGGAAGTCTTTTGCTGTTAATCTTCCATTTCTGTCCAGTGGATTTAGAGCTGGTGGCTTTACCCTGACATTCCAGGACTGTTTCAAGCCACAAGCTAGGATCTTATGCCAAGCAACCAAAAAGGATCAGATATGTGTGCAGGACTTGTCTCTCATTATCATAGATGTCTTTTCCCTAACCCAGAACCACAAGCAATTGGGTCTAATGAGGGGTAGTTAATGGGTTTTTCATCCTCAATTTACTGTTGGAAGCTGTAAGTACTGATCTCAACTTTATCTGGGAAGCTTGGTTCAAACGTTCTGCTATTTGTATAAGGATAATGCCTTCCTTACCAAATGTCTCCGATATTCAGCTGCTACCTAATGTGACTTTCCCAGGAGCCAGCTGCCTTTACTCTCAGTTCATGACTCAAGGTTTCCATTAGGTCCAGGTTCTGTATTATCCTCTTATTTTTTCAGTGCAGCTATATTTACTACAAAGACCATAAATACAAGGCTAGGGATTTAGCTCAGCTGCGTAAACGCCTGTCTGTCAAGCATGAGGTCACAAATTCAATCCTTGGTACCAGAAAGAAAAAAAAAAAAAAAAGGAAATATAGTTTAAAAAAAAATAACTCCTGTTAAAAAGCACAAAGAAATTGTTATGTTTCTCCAACCAATGGACATAGATACACAAATATCTAAAAAAATTAAAGTCAAGGAGATTTTATGCTCATTTTTCCACCACTAATGGGTTTTTTGCTGTGGTTTTTATTGTTGGTGTTTTGTTTTGTTTTGTTTTGTGGTGACAAGGGATTGAGCCTGGTGTGCTTCTACCACTGAACTACATTCCCATCCTTTTTTTCTTTTGAGAGAGTGCCTCATTAAGTTGATCAGATTAGCTTTGAACTTGTGATCCTCCTGCCTCAGCCTTCCTACTCACTAGGACTATAGGTATGCACCACCATTCCCAACTAAAGGGACAAGTTTTAATGGAAAGATTTTATAATCAGTAAATCTAAATCCTACTTGAAAAAATCTCCACTGAGGCTTTAGAAGTAGCGTCCTCCTTCATTTCTGCAAGCCCAGTAAAAGGCTTGAGAGTTTTTTAAGTTTTAGGCTTTTGTGGAAGCAAGACACATCAGCTTACATAACCCTCTCCTATGTGATTTATAGCTGTGTCTATTGTTTCCGCTAATTTCTCATGGTGAGATTAGAGCATATCACCTCAGCGTTGAGCAGGGTTTACCTTCTGTAATCCTGGCAAGGCCAGAATATTGGGCATTGATTTTTGATTGAAAATGGTCATAACAGTTAGTAGCTTATCTAACAAAACATGTACAGGCTCCATCAACTGAAAAGTATAAAATGATAATGAGAGAAATCAAACATCTAAAACAATGAAAATGTATACTGTGTTCATGGATTGGAAAGTTTAAGATAGAATTGGTAACCCAAACTATTCCATAGATTTAATAAAATGCATATCAAGAGTTTTTGTAAGCACAGAAAAATTTACTCCAAAATTTGTATGGGAAGGAAAAAAAAACTAAACTGACTAAACCATTTGCAAAATTAATAAATAAATAATAAACCTAGAGGGATCATAGTGTGTGGTACTTGCTATATAGCTACAGCAATCAATATTATGTGTGCTATTGAAATAACAGATATATAGACCCTGGATCAAGATCAAATAAACCAGATATAGT